TGCGGAAAGAAAGCATACAGTGAATTACCCAAAAATTGGAAAGGATCATGCACACTCGGGATAATTCGGCCTTTTTTCTTTACATTACCTAAAGATGAAAGTAGGTCTTTAGGTGCTCCCCTCTTTGAAACTCTAGCCCGACAAAAGAGGGAATTGAAACGAGAGCTACCAATAGCCGGAGGTAACCACAAATGGAAGGGGGAGGAATGGCCCGCTGAAAGAATCATACAATATTATGGACCGGCAACATGGGCAAATGATGGCAGTTGGGGTTATAGGACCCCAATCTACCTCCTCAATCGGCTTATTAGGTTACAGGCTGTGGTAGAAGTTGTTTCAAATCACACTTCAGAAGCCCTAGAACTCCTAGCAAAGCAGCATTCCCAGATGAGAGCTTTTGTATACCAAAATAGATTAGCTCTCGATTATTTGCTAGCTGAGGAGGGAGGAGTGTGTGGTAGATATAACGAATCAGAGTGTTGCATGGAAATAGATGACTTCGGAGAAACTATAAAGGGTCTAGCTGCTGAAATAAAGAAAGTAGCCCATGTACCGGTCCAAAAATGGAATTCAATTTTACAAGCTTCCTGGTGGGATCAAATTTTTGGACAAGGAGCATGGTGGAAAAAGCTAGTGTTCTTTATAGGATGTTCAATTGCCGGAGTCATCTTCCTACCCTGCCTAATTCCTTGTCTGATCAGACTAATACATTCTGTCGTTCAAGGAATGCAGATTGCCTCTCTCCCAATAGACCCAGAAAAGGCACAAGGAAAGACTGCCCTTCTTTCTAAAATCATGAAGTTAGAAGAAGAGAAAGAGAATAGAAATGCAATCAAAGCATTGAGGGAATTCGAGAACAAACATATGTTGTCACAAGAAAATATAGAAGGGTCAGACAGAGAGGAAAACGAAATCATCTAACAATAAGTCCGTATTCCTCTGAAAATTTACACAAACACGAATTTTTAATGTGATGAAATTATTAGGTGGGGGACTGTAATAAAGAATTGAATGAATAAAAATTCGAAGAAAAAGTTTAAATAAATTATATGTAATTGTAAATGATGAAAAATATGAAATGATTGCAAAATCCACCCAGATAACGAACCCCGGCAGGCACATCAACTTGGAGGAAAAGACAGGACAAAGGCCATCATAAGGACAAAGAGCTAGCCTGAAAGTCTACCTCCGGACCTGGGCAACGCCCAGCTGACTTCTGCCGGAGACAATCAAGTGAAACAAAAGAGACAAGTCCCAGGAAGATAGTCGTCGCTAGAACTGAACACCCCACCCGCCAAACCTATGCTGGAGTAACTCAATCAAGAAAGACAAAAGGGGAACAACCCCGCCGAGATATCCATCAGCACCAGCCCGGATCCCTCGATTCTGCCATGATGAAATATGTTAAAATACATACAGAATCACTTTGCATTTGAGGAGACACTGCCCGGACACTTACTAACTCTATTTTCCAAGCCAGGAAATCCATTCACCTGACAATCAAATTCTAGCCTGGGGACACAAAATCTCTATAAAACCCCAGGTCGAAAAACCCTCGGACGTGGATTTGGGAGCACCTATACCTTGAGTATAGACCCCGTCCACCCAGCACTGCACTGTTCATTTTATTGTGGTTTTTCCTCGCTGTTTTGCTGTTTATTAATTTATAATAAATTTCTCTTTTTTATCCTTAATCTGCTGTTGCATTTATAACATTCCTATCCCCAGATCTCTGCCTAAAAGCCCCTTGATTTCAAATTTATAATAATTCGGAGGGAGGGGGTCTACATTCTTTCATCCCAAGGGAGGCTCCTGCTCTCCCTAGCGGACACCTGTCTTCTAGAACCAAGACAGCACTGGATGCTATTGCTGCTGCCAGACTATGCAGAAACACCCAGCTGTAATGGCAGAAATGTGTAGAAATCCTGGGCTGGTGGATGAGGCGTATCAAGCTCTGAGGTGGTGACTGGCACCGCAGCAAGTCCCGGTGGGACAGGGGGGATGCAGGGGGTCCACAGATGAAGAACATGTTGTGAATTCATGTTGTAAATATTGGCTTTTCACAATTATTCTGATAAATGTTATATGCTATATGCTTTTGCTATATTCTTTTCTCTCTTAGCAAGTTATAGGCTTAGATAGGAATTCTGAATGGTAAGGATATGTTTCATCCGGACAAGGCAAGATAACTTCAACAGGCAAGACAATGGGAGGACCAAGCTGTTTCCAACAGAAGGACAGTGGAAAACAGGCTATTACCAGCAGCAGGAAATGGAGAGCAAACTGTTATCAAAAAGCCGGTACCAGGATGTTGGCAGGGGGGAAAGATATGAAGCCCAGCTGCCCTCAAAGGAAGGATGAGGGGCCTGGACTGTTATCAACACTGACCATTTGCAGAAGAAAGGAAACCAAACTCCAAAATAATGCTGAGCAGCTAGAATAATGATGACCAGCAAAAAAAATGCTGACCAGCAGAAAACAAAACTGTACAAGAGCATGTTCTAAGAAGGCGGAACCAGGGAGGGGACATGCTTTGAATATGCATTAAACCCTCACAGCAGGATGGGATAAAAAGAGTGTTCCCAAGATACCAGGTGTGCTCTTGGCAGCGTGCCAAGGCACCTGGCAGTAACTCTTTGCTTTATTTTATGTCTTTTATTGTCTTTATTAAACCTTTTAAAAATTTTACAGGAGTGAACTTTGTTTTTCAGAAACAGAAGAAAAAGAAGCAGCTCTGCCTGGGTCACAGCTAACTCGCTTCTCCCAGTAACTGCAGCTCCGAGTGTGTCCTGCTCTGAAGCCCCAAGAAAAAAACAGCTAGCCCCCAGCTGCCCCCACCCTCATTTTTTCCTGCCCTCCCCTTCCCCCCTGGGCCCAGCTGAACTCTTTGTGTTTCTCAAGCACCCAATAAGTACCAGCAATCAGGTTTCCCTACAACTAATGGGTAAAAATTCTATAGGTGAGAAGGAACAAAAGGAAAGACATCTAACCTTCCTACTCTTCCCCTTCCTTTTAATGTTAATGTAGTTTGAACTGAACGGCCTTACAAGGTCAGTGGCTAACTTCGAACTATCCCCCATATAGGAATGATGGAGCTGACAGCTGCAGTTCCAGACAAGGAATGCTCAGAGGGCAGTAAGTGTGGACCAAACTTTTTGAGATGGTTGTGGATAGTATTTGCATATGGGAATAATATGCACTGCAATGACAAGAATCTTTATTGATAAAAGTATGATATAATTAGTGCAGTTACTGACTCACACATAGCACAACCAGAGAAATTGTTCTGTGCTTCTGTACAATAAATGTATATGTGTAACAAATAATGTCACTCTTTCTTTACAGACAAAGAGTTCCTAAACACAGAAAGCATCATAGTGGAAAAGCTGATGTGGTATTTTGTCATTCTGGTTTCATGTGTGCCTCAGTCACTTTTTATGGCTGTCAATAACAAAGCTGACACTCAGAGGAGCTTATTTGGACATTATACCTGTTGAAATCAGGAACTGAGACCAAGCATTCAATTCAAATGCTTAATTATGCTAATTGTGATGACATTAGACTTCTGTAATTGAAGAAAGAACCCTTGAAGCCTTTTGTCATAAATACATATTATAATATTGGCTTTTTGCAAGTATTAAGATGAATATTATATGTATAATGTTAAAATGGCTTTACTGTGTGAATGCAGGTTTTCTTCTCTTCCTATTAGCAAAAATTTAGACATAATTGGTAATAGTCAATTTAGTATATTTGGACTGCCTGCCCGGTTAGGATAACATCCAGTGAACAGATGATGAGGACATGGCTGCTATCAAAACTCACCACCTGCAGAAAGAAGGAGCCAAAGCCCAAATTGAATGATGATAAGAAGAGGATTAAAATCCCAAGCCAAGAAACACGCATGCCCTTAGAAGGCAGATCCAAGGAGTGGTCATGCTAAACAGTAAACCTGGAAAATGTAAACTAGTCAATAGAAAAGTTAGAATATGCATAAAGCCTATGAATATACATCAAGTTGATGCAATGGAAATGGTATATAAAGGGTGTTTCCAAAACACCAGGTGTACTCTTGGCAGAGTGCCAAGCACCCAGCTGTTTTAACCCTTTGCTTTATTGCCTTTGTCTCCTTTTGTCTTTTTATTTTATTAAACTGTTGGGAAAGATGAAAGTTTGGCAAGAAAGTTTCAGATACGTATGCTTGGCAGAAAGCTCTCTGCATAGAGAACCTGAAAGCAGAATAGAGATGGAAACAAGTTTTGATGTAGAAGAATAATAGATGTCTAAAGAATTGCTGAGCCAGTCATTACTGAACAACTAAGAAAGCAAAGGTTAAGTTGAGCTGGAAGGAGGTTTTACGGCTAGAGCAAAGGATATGTTGACCACAAACAAGAAGATGTTTTTACCAAGCAGAAATAGGTCTTAGGAAAAGCAGAAGATACCATAGGCAAAGAAACATGCTGACGTAGCAAGTAAAAAAGGATCTAAGAATTTTCCACTGAAAGAAAACAGAAAAACAACTTTTAGCTTAAACTGTAACATACTAACTCATGTGATTGGATAGACCATAATACGGTAATGATGGTAGTTATCATAGGCTATAGGTAATAGTAAAGGTATCGTGTATGATGCTGATTGGTTATCATGTATTAAGATGCTCAGCAAAGAAATACATATAATGCATTGTAACCAGAACTAAAGGGGCTTCAGGTTTGCCTATAAACTGGAGCTGGCAGCTTTAGGTGTGGCTCTCTTACCCACAACCCATGATGTTGCGGCATGTGTTTATTTTAATGGTTTGTTAATTTACAATTGTATAGCTAATGGTTTGTTCCTATGTACCCCCCATGTTTCCCCAGAATTGGTGAGCCCCTAAATTGTATTCTCCCCTATGCTGCCTGTGAGGAAAAAGACACAACTTCAGGATTCAAATAAACTAGGGTGTTTATTAAGGGAAAAAAACAAAGGGGAGGAAGGGATAATGGGTGAGGGAGTAAAAAGAAAGGAAATAAAAAAAAGTCCCGGCTCTGAGGATTGAAGAATCCTCTGGCTGAACCAGCATTTTGGTCCCAATGCAAGAACTCAGTGGCACTGCAGTGAATGCAGCTAATCTGCACTCAGATTTTTATTAAAAAAAATCTCTGAAAGACATGTAGACTGTAGTCTGCAGTGTTGGGTCCTCTGCTGCAGCTAATCCACAGTTAAACGGCAGTTCTTATAGTCTCATACCTCCTTTTACAATCTCTGTCCCCTCAGCTTGTTGCTGGCAGTCCCACCCCTATAGTTTCTGTTGATTGTTGCTGGCAAAACCTTCTCCTCCAACAGTCTGCTGTTGTTGGGGTAACTGAGGTTTTTGGTGGGAAAGTTCCTCATTAGTATGCAGTGTTGCCCTGGTGTCAAGCTACAAGTCCTCTGGAGGAGGCTAAAAATTCTTTGTAAGATGCTGCATGCTGCTGGTGAGGGGATTTGCTTTGAAGCCCTCAAAAGTGACAAATGTAAAAGGGATTATTAAACTTACAAATAATGGATCAATAGCAACAAATAAATGAGTAAGGGACCACAAAAATAGGGATAACGCTTATGACAATCAAGCATTCAGTTGGAACACACAAAAAACAACCAGTACAATTCCACAATGACCAACTTCTAAACAACAACAACAACAAACAATCCTACATGCAAAAGCCCATCGAAGTGTTTTATAGATGACACTGCCCATCATTTTAACCCAACCCCTTGTTCTAGTGCCTTCCCTGTCAATCATTGTGAGCCCTGCCCCTTGTTCTCAACCCTTCCCTGTCAATCCTCAGCTGGGCCAATCCCACCCCTTTGGAAATCCCCTAAATCTCTAGGCCCCACTTTCTCATGTGACCTGTCCTCTCCTCCCCCTTTTCCTCACTGGTTCCCATGCTGTAAACCCTGCCTCATGCTCCTCCCCTGGTTGTCCTTGATTGGTTAAGAGTTTGTACCCACCCCTTGAAACCTCCCTGTATTTAATCCCCAGCACAGAGGAGCGAGGGGCTCTTTATCCCTGACCCCTTCAGCTTTAATAAACTGCACCTTGCTGGAACCTCATACAAAGAGCCTCCTCCTCTTCCTTCGCCTGATCCCCGATATCTGATCCCATAGAGCAAGCGGCTCTCAAGGTTCAGCCTCAGGAGTTGAATCTCTGAGGCTGTTCTGCACACCTAGCACAGTGTTGGTGTGTGCCAAGATCTAGCCAAGGCTCCAGTGACCATGTCACCATGAATGTTGTAAAATCATCTATACAATAAACAGCATTTTGAAGAGCCACATGGTGTCCCACATCTCTCATCTCAGGCTCTTACATTAAACCTTTTAAAATTTACCAGGGAAGTGAATGTAGGTTTTCACACTACCATAAAAGGTGTGTAATTAAAGAGTAACTTCTGAAATGATAGCCAAGTTCTAGATGGTACATTCAACATTATGTGATACGTGATTGCAATCCCATTGGAAGTCTGGAATTCTGGAAAACTCTATTCAAAATAGACTTCCATATCCAGTTGGAGAGATGATAAAGGAAGACTAGGTTTTGAGGTAGCAATTTAGTCACCTGGACTTTTGGTGTATTTGAAGCCTCAAAACTTTGTTCAAAACACATAATGCACAAAAGAAGGAACATTTCCTTCTTTTTTAGAGCTCTAGGCAGGCACTTCCAGATAACCAGCTATTTTGTTCAGGGAAATTATGATTGCTTTTATTTATCTACAGCAAGGGAGTGTGCATTACAGCCACTTGAGAATTGCATAGCACTACTCAGTGATTATCAAGTAATGGCTGATTCCTTTTGTTGATTGGTTCACTTTTGATGTTGCTTGTGTCATGTCAGCTCACATGCAGGATTCTGAAGTATTCTGCTGAACGGGAGAACAGTGTTAAAAAAACCTGTCCTAGAATTCCATTGTTTGTGAATATAGGGGTTGTAAGCTACAGGAGGGACACAGGCACTACATCTCTACCATCATCATCACATATAGAATGACAGAAAAATTATAAAAACATATACAGAGCTTAGAATGATACAGTTTTTCAAAGAACAAATAACTGCTCTCCTCTTCCCATCTTTTTCTTGCTATTTGATATCAAGTTATCAGTACTTCATTAGTTAGTTTTCATTTTTGAATGTTATCTTCCTGTACAAGTAATTTTCCAGTGAATACTCACAGTTATTGCTCATGTACTGAGGGTGGATTTTTATTTATGTAAAATACATAGTTTCCATCTGCTTTAAGGAATGATCTCTGAAACTGATTTAAGTATAGATTGTTTTACTTTCCTTTGTGTATTATGGCAAGTATTTTGCATAGAGTTTCTGAAAATGTTTATGTATTAAACTTTTATTTTTCTTTCTTAAAATCTTTGTTCTGTTTCAACATGATTGAAATTATTTCTGTCTGGACAGTTTCTTCACAGAAATCATCCCTGTTCTGGAACATTTTGGAAGATTTTTCATTAAAATAGCTAGTCACATGTGTTGGCCTATTCAGAACTGTTGGAGTTCATTGCACGTTTGAAGGCTCTGAGCAATGCTTCCACAGCATTGAGGCTTCCTCTGTTTCTTAGACTGTGAGTAGACTGGGATGCTAGGGTAGGGAAGAGCTTGGGAGGGGACACAGGCAGGACACCTGACCCTGACTGACCATATTCAACACATAACATTGTGCTCAAACTTTTTGTGTGTGAGAGTTTTTTCTGAACTAGCCACTGATCAGAGTATGACTGAGCATTGATGTGATACTGCTGAGATGCTGAGTGATTGACTGTGCAACACTTGTTTTCTTCTTTTTAATTCACTTACTAAACTGTCTTTATTTAAACTCACAAGTTTTTTCTTGCTTTTGCCCTTAAGATTTTCTCCCTGATCCCACTGGTGCAGTGTGAGCAAGCAACAGGATGGTGGCTTAGTTGCTGGTGGGAGTTAATCCACCATGTGCTTATATTTCTAACTGTTCTGAGAGACTGTGATCCCTCACTTGTGCAGACTTTCTATTGTTTTCAAAGAGAGACAAAGATTTGAGTATGAGGTAATATACTGTAAAAGAACTAGGATTTTAATGGAAGGTATTAAAATATGGGATTTTACTGAAATGTATTTGTGTTTTAGAATAAAGGTGAATAAAGTTATATTGACAAATCAAAGATCTGCCTTAGAAACTTGGGTATTTTTGTCCAGTCTCCTTTGTTTCAAGTTAGTTTTCCTGAACTCAGGCTTTAGAAATTAGCTTGAGTTTATTTGTACATTTTTATTTTCTTTTTCTATGTTGGGATTGCATTGGTGCTTAGAAATAATGGTTAAAATAAGTTCCAGAGATAAATTACTTGGGATGGAATTTAAAAAGTCTGAGACATCTAGTAAGAAAAATAATAAGTGGAGCAAAAAAGCAGCGCAAACGAAGAGCTGGTGTCTGCTGTCAGGTCAAGAATCAAAGCATTCACTAGAAGACCCATCTTCCAGTTTCATTATTTTAATGACATCCTTCTACTTCTGCAATGTCCCTAAAATATGTTTTAATGGCCTACATTTTATTCTGGGGAAGAATGGTGCTACCCATTTCTTTCAATGAACCTGATCCACCTTCTATAAAGTAACATTTCTGGAATAAGTACTGGCATCTGTATGTACACACTTATAAATGAATATCATAACTAATACGTTTGTAATATTTTCTCTTTAGTGCATGTATTTAATTAATGAACACTCAAGTTTGACATTTCAAGTAGAATTGCCTAGTATGAGACTTCAAGTTTTGCCTTCTTCTCCCAGTGTAGTTATAGGATCTTGGTAGGAAATGTTTTTTAGAGAGACATATATATGTGTTAAAATCCTCTCAAAAAACCCCCCAAAAACCTAAAAACCTAATCAAACAAACAAGCACAGAAATCCCAAAAACCAACTTTGCTGTTCCATCATTAAACATTAGATGTTGAACTGAATTTTATTTCCACCAGAATGCCTGTAAACACAAAACCAATTTTCCTTCTCTGCCGAATGTAATTAAAAATTGTGGACCATTCTTGGAGAACAGAAGCTACAGTATTTTGTAAAAATAGATTCACAGGAATTAATTGTAATAGCTTTTGTAATGCTGTTACTAAATGCGCATGGAGAAAGTAGTGAATATAGTTTGTTTTATATGGACCAAGTGTTACAAAGTTTCTGAAGCTAATTATACGGGGAAAAATTTTGTGCAAAAGGAAATTACTCATTTGCATAGTGTTAATAGCCATATTTAGAACAGTGCTAATATTGGAAAAAATACTTATTTGCACTTCTGCAAATTCAGTAAGGTTTCTAGGTTGATCATAGAACGATTGAAAAATTCTGGTCAAGAATCATCTCAGGTGATCCAGTCTTACCTATTATTTGAAAAAGCATCATTGTGTGGTCAAACCAGGTTGTCTACAACCTTTCCTAGACTAACCTTGAAAATATCTAAGAATGAAGACTATATAACCTTTCTAGGCAACTTGTTCTACTGCTTGACTGTCTTCATGCTGGAAAAGTATCTCCTTCTATCCAGTCTGAATCTCTGTTCTTTCAGCTTACACACCTTGTCTCAACCCACTGGCACACACAGGCGGAAAGCCTTCTTCCATCTTCCATTTTTTTGATGACATCTTTCCAGATTTTAGAAGGCTGCTTTAGGGCATGTGGCCCACCTCAAGCCTTCTTTTCTCCAGGCTGACAGGCTCTGTTCCCTCAGTCTCTCCTTCCAGAGCAGATGCTCAAGTCCCTTGACTGATCAGGTGGCCTTTGCACAGTGTTCCAGCTTGTCGAGTTTAACAAGCAGAAGTGGGGCCCAAGGCTGAGTGCAGGTTTTGAGATGCAGTCTGATGAAGGCTGAGCAGCAAGGAGCAGCAATTTTCCTCAATATGACAGCTACAATACTATTTATGCACTCCTTGGTAGAGTTGACCTGTTTGGCTGACAGAGCACACTGCTGGCTCATGTTCATCTTGCTGCTACCATGACTCCCATTCCAGCAAAGCTGTTCCCCCACCTGGAACATCACCAGCCTGTGCTGTGCTGTTGTGCTTCTTCCTCAGTACAGGACTTGTTGAATCTTTTAAGTTTCCTTCTAGACCCTCCCTGAACCCTGTCAAGTTCTACTGAATGGTAACTCCACCCTTAAGCATGTCCAGGAGGCTGGATTCTGCTACCCTTCTCACATACAGATCCATAGGCATTCAAGCTATTTCCCATCAATGTTATTTGTGGTAGAAGTGTGTAAAAATGGAAAAGAAGCAATATAACTTAAAAATAAACAAACAAACAAACAAAAAAAAAACAAAACGGAAAATGGTACATCTAAAATAACAAATGTGAAACCAACACGTGCTTAGCTAAAGTGAGCTTTCAGACCATCTCTTGGAACAACAAATGTGACAAGTGAATGCAAAACGAAGAATATAAAACTGTTCAGTTAAAAGCATATCTAAATACCCCATGCTTTTTCTGTGAAATAACTGCCCTTTTTATAAACTATTTTCATACTTCACACCTGAGTAGACAGGCTGTGAGATACCCTCATTTCTGTGACACACAAAAAAAAAAAGAATTCTAGGATATTTCTTATCCTGAAGCCATGCAGTACTAAAAAAAGAAGGTGAAAGAATCATAAAAATTACTATTTATGAAACTTAATAACTCAGGTTGTAATGTCTTCTGATAAATGTCATTAATGTTTTCATCAACATGGAAGTTTACAACCAATTTAACCTGAAGATAATTTTCTCCATGGAAAAGTCCTGGCAGTCTGATACAGAAGCTAAAAATGGATAAGAGGGGAACAAGTGGCAGGAAACTTACAAAATGAATGGTATATTGGATTGAGCTGGTTGAACAGGATTAATAAATTACAAATTCCTATTGGTATCTACCAGCCAGTCTGGTTGACTTCTTTTGCCAAAGTGTATAGATAATTGTACAGATAAGTGGACATAAATCAGCATCCAGTATTTTTAGTTCAATGTAGGCTTTCATTTTATGATAGGCTTTGCTCAAAATAATTTCAGTTTTAAAAAAAAAATTGTACATTGTGGCCCTCACCTGGTTGCTGGTTAAGTCTGACGTCCAAGAGAATTTTCAGACCTGCAGATGCTGAGTTGAGACTAAATACAATAAAATATCCATAGCAGGTAAGCTATCAAACAGTGCCTTGATAGTGTAGATCATTTCTCCTGGAAAAAAGAATCAACAGAAAATAGAAAATTTCTGGTCTGTAAGACAAAAGGAAACCTTGCTAAGGTACTTCCCATTCATGAAGAAAACATACCAATTGTGCTGATAATAGCGTCACTTTATCTTTTTCTTTATACTCAGCCATTCAGACTTACATTTCAGTCCTTTGGAATGAACCAGGAACTTTGGACTCAACTCCTTCCCATCCATACAACCACACACAGGACATGTTTTTGTTCTGTTCTTTTCTCATGCTCATTCACAAAGGGAATCACCAGCTACCTGGCAAAAGTCATGAGCAAGATTTGTTTATTATTATTTTCTTGAATGATTAAATCATGTATATTTCTACTTTGCAAGTAAATGCAAGTTTCCAGCACTGGTCAACTTAACACCCTTTTTGTTTCTTCCTATTCTCATTACACTTCTGGAATATTATTAAACCATAAATTGTAGTCTCTTTCACTCAATGAGTGCTAAATACTGTACAAAATTTGGAACCTGGTACTGTCTGAGGAACTTAGGAGTGCTGTTTCCATACGGTACTGGAACCAAAGTGCACCTGTTGCATCTGAACATCACTCTGCCTCCCCATCCTACCTTCATGTAATGTATCACCTCACACGATACACATAGAAGCCGAAATCAATTTGATGTTTTATATTTTAATTTATTTTATTCACTCTAGTTCAATGGTATAGAAAATTTATATTGTATAACACTCATTGGTATGGTTCATTTGAAATAACATAATTAAAAGTTTAAATTTCACCAGATGAACCATCATAAAAGGTAAACATGAAAAAGTACCATGGAATAGAAGATAGAAATTACATAATATGGTGCAAAATCCTTTCAGAAAATATGTCTGAGAAAATCTGAAGTTTATGAAGACTACAGGTAGACCGCATATGATGTGATCTACTGAGCTTTTAAAAATAAATTTATATTATAAAACACTGTTTGTATTTTTCTTATGAAGAAACCAGAGAGCATCCTTTTTGACTCCCTATTATTGGAATAATATTTAAATAAATATTTTATGCCTTCCACAGCTGTAAATATTGCTGTGTTAAAATGATTTAATAGCCTTTTCTGCTTGGAAGTGAGCCTGTCTCCATGTGGACATTACACACTCTGCATTCACCGTTTTGCAATCCACTCCTTAACCTTCTTATGACAGAAATTCTGGCTTCTGTACCATTCAAATTGTTAAGAATAATATGTTACAGTTGTTGTTTGTAAACTCCTTACTTACCTTGTACCCCTGTCCCAGGTTTACTTACCCTTGTACCCCTGTCGCAAATTGCTGTACCCCATATTTTTTGTTCCTTGTTCAGCCAGGCCCTGCCCCCTCTCCCAAGTTGCTGTACCCTGTGTTTCTTGTTCTGTGTTCAGCCAGGCACTGCCCCCACTGCTCCTAGACTCCCACATGGCAACATTGTATCCCTTTCCCAAGTTGCTGTACCGCTCTGAGGAGGAAGATGACATACTGACTTTTATGCAAACGAGAGAGACCAGAGACTTATGGGATGCACCCAGACTGGAAAAAACCCCAAAACAACGAGCCACGCAAAAGGGAAGGAATAGAACCAGCACCATCTAACAAGGAAGACCCAGAGGAGTCCCCTGACTTCTTTCCAGAGGCCGACATAACCTAGAGGAGGCTCGACTGGGATGACAGCCTAGACTACGAGTCTGAAAGAACAAGTCTTCCCGGGGACTCCCGTGAGGAAGGAAGGCCCAGCTCTGCCCTAGTGACAGAGCTGCACGGATCCTCCTCTTCTGCGGTGTCCAGTGGGAGCAGTGGCGGTGTGCGCGACCCCTTGGGCCCCCACCCCAGAGCTGTGCTGCTTAGTAAAGGCCTTTTTAAAAGGAGCTGGTCTCCTGGCCTGTTTATCACAAAATGAATTCTCAAATCTGAATTAGATAAGAGCTTAGCTATGTAATGTGTGGGCAGCATTGTGCACCTGAGAAGTGTTAACAGAAGCCGTAACACTAAGCCAGAAGTAACTTTCATGAGCTGGCAAGAAATGCCAAGAAGAGTGATGAGACCTTGGAGCCTAAATTGTGTGGTTTAATTTATGGTTTTTTTTCAGGAAGATGAGGAATGTTGTGTTTGACAAGTAGACTTGCAGAGGTGACTCCCAACCAGTATTATTCTATGAATCCGTGATTCTGTGACTCCAGGTGGAGGAAGTGACTATTACTTCAGTCTTTGTGTCACATTAATGACAAAAATCTGAATGCCAGGTTGTACCCATGGTGCTGGCCTGGGGTGATCAGCTATAGCTGTTACTCTGGCCAGGCCCCACGGAAGGCTGACTGAATTTCTGCTTGGCATGTGGAATATACACAGTGGTACCAGCACTTCTGAGAGCTCTTCATCAATCCGTAAAGACCAGTTTGAGCTTGGAAAGACCACTGTTAAGAATAATTAGAAGATTGTTAACATGTCACTGTTTGTAAACCCCTTACTTACCTTGTACCCCTGTCCCAGGTTTACTTACCTTGTACCCCTGTCCCAAATGGCTGTACTCTGTGTTTCTTGTTCTGTGTTCAGCCAGGCACTGCCCCCACTGCTCCTAGACTCCAACATGGCAACATTGTATCCATGCCCCGAGTTGCTGTACCTTGTTCAGTTGGGCCCTGAGGAGGAGAAGGACATAGGGACTTTTATGTAAACGAGAGAAACCAGAGACTCATGGGATGCACACAGACTGGAAAAAACCCCGAGACAATGAGCCACACAAAAAGGAAGGAATAAAAACAGTACCATCAAACGAGGAAGACCCAGAGGAGTCTCCTGACTTCCCTCCAGAGGCCGACATACTGGGAGGGCACTTGACTAGGATGACAACCTAGACTATGAGGCCAAGAAAACGAGTCTTCCTGGGGACTCTTGTGAGGAAGGAAGGCGTAGCTCTACCCTACTGACAAAGCTGCATGGATCGTCTTCTTCTGCAGTGTCCAGTGGGAGCAGTGGCGGTGTGCGTGACCCCTCAGACCCCCACCCCAGAGCTGTCCTGTTTAATAAAGGCCTTTTTTAAAAGGAGCTGGTCTCTTGGCCTGTTCATCACACCGCACAAAACGGGCATGATTACAATAAATGTCCTCCCTTCCCTTCACCCTTGCCTTTGCTTTCTTCCCAATGGCACCTGCAGTATCTGTAGTATCCTACTAAGGTGCTTCTAAGGCTCAGCTGCCCTGCTAAGACTGACAGCACAGACAGACAGACAGACAGCAGGGTCTTTTGGGGCAGCTGGCTTCTAAACAACACTTAGAGCAAGAGGATGAATTAGAGCTGCATAAATTCAGTGTGAAGAGAGACTGCATGGCTGGTACAAATCCATTAATAAAATGCGGAATACAGGGAAAGTCAAAATGTAATGAACTTGGCCAGGGCTAAAGGTTTGCCTTGGCAGTGGCTGGTAGAAGGCAGAGAAAGCCTGTTGCAGCATGTGTTTGTTTTAATAGCTTGTTAACTTATGCTTGTATAGTTAATGGTTTGTTCCTATGTTCCCCCCCATATTTTCCTCCAGAGTTGGTTTGATCCTAAGTTTTATCCTCCCCTATGCTGCCTATCATTGTGACCCAACCCCTTATTCCTGAACCTTCCCTGCCTGTCACTGCAACCCTGCCCATTCTTCCAGGTCCTTCCAAGTCAATCCCCAGTTGGGCCAATCCCTGATTGTACCACTCTGGAAATCCCCTAACCCTCAATGTCCCATTGGCCTGTGTGACTTGTCCTCTCCTCCCCCTTATCCTTATTGGTTCTATTGTAAATCCCACCTCATATTCCTCCCCTGTATGTTCCTGATTGGGTAAAATTTTGTACCCACCGCCTGAAATCTCCCTGTAGTTAATCCTGAGGTGCTCAGGGCTCTTTATCCGTGACCCCTTCAGATAATAAATGTGTTCCCATAATTCCTTACAGAGAGCCTCCTCCTTGTCCTTGGCCTCTTCCATGTGCTGAGAGCTTAACATGCTGTAAAGCAGCAGCTTTAAGGTTCAGCTCCTGCTGCTTAATTCAGCAGCTGTGCCCCACACTTGGCATGGTGCCCTGAACTGAGGGCTAGCTGAAACTCTGGCACTTTGTCAAAAACCCACAGATATGAGGAAAGACTGGAGATCATGGGTGCTTATGCAGGAAGTGGAGTTCTTTGGCCACTGCTACACAGGCATAGATGGCCTCATACCTCTGCCTTCCCTATCAGCAGCTCAGACACTTGGGGAAAGCATATACAAATATAGAAAACATAATGATAAATGCCTCAAACACTTTTCTAGTGTGAAGGAATTACAGCTTGGAAACTTGCCAATGCAGAAGTGAATTCTCTATATTTGCCACTCTGTGGATGTATCTCTTACACTATTCCTTCTCCCTTCAAAGCCAGGCAAACAATCAGTCCTCACCAGCATCTGGCAAGAGAATTCTGTAGTTTAACATCTGGTGAAGAACCTCTTCTGTTGATTATTTTGAAACTGCTACTAACTAGTCTTATTTGATGGCTCTTAGGATTTTTTGAAAGAAGCAATGTCCTGTATCCTCTCTCTCTCTCTGGGCAATTTTGATGTTGTAGGCTTTTTTTGGTACGTTTTCCATTGCCTTAGTCATCTTCAACCTAAATTGAAGAGTTACTGTCAAGTTGTTTTGATACAGATGCTTCCCATACCCTTTATCTTCATTGCTGACCATATCCATATGTTTTCCAATCCTGCTATAGCCTTATTTGCAGTTAAGTTGTATAGAGGAGGAAGTTGGCAAGGATCAGTGTGAGAAATGCATGGCAATAGTGCAGCAGTATCTTTTATTCTTTATTCTGTGTCTAGTAATTTAGCAGCACTTACCATGGATTTTGGCCCTCACTGAGCACTGATTTGACGTTTCCATGGAGCTATTCATTTCATGAAACAGGCAACTCTATCATATGCATACCAAAGAAGCATTAAAAGTTGCTAGTTTAAGAGAGACTGTGGTATGTTAATAGATTTTTTTAGAGCAATCTTGATAATTCCAAGGGAAAAAAATGATGTATGATTTTATTTATTTGTGGAAAGAAAAGCTGCAGACAATATCCAGACAATATCTTATGCAGACAGTAAAGAAAATTCTGTAAACAAAATTTTCAGATTACGAAAGTTAGGATTCCTGTAGCTTTTTGTAGCTCAAGAAACACAGTGAGGAATACAGTTGACCCAGAAACTCCACAGGTGATTTTTACCCTATTACGTGGAACCTTATAATCTAAAATATGCAAGCGCTGAATTGCATTTTCTGAGTTCAACCAAGAGAATCTCAACAGCAAATGAATTGGGAGGGGATTTTCTGTTTGGGTTTTATGTCTGTTTGGTTTTAGCAATTTGATCTTCAGTTTTGTTCTGGACAATTCCATTATTTTTTTCATGTATTCTAATCTACTGGTTTAAATATGTGTTAGCTTTATGAGAAAAAGTAAGACCTTGGGCTTTGAATTCCAACATGGAGAAATGAGTATTTTATTACCTGTATGACTTTATTCATTGAGACTGTCCAAACCTTTTATTTATGAAGCAGGAAAAAATGAAAGTGAACAAGCCTTTTTCTGCCAATTTAACGGTCTATTCCTGTGCATTTCCACTAAAGATTCTGCAACATTTTCTTTCCATTTTAACTCTGAAAAAAT